TAAGCCGGGTGCAGTTAATTCAGTAACTCCGCTAGGGCCATTGATCCTAGTTTCGGACACACAACACACCTCAATACCCAGTGTGTCCAAGGTGCGTGCGGGTGCAGTCTGTTGACCTGTTTGTCTTAGAGTGCGGACGTTGAACGTCGCCATGGAAATGAGACAGCGTGGCTTTATAATGCGCTGTTGTCGGTAAGCGTCCGATAGGTTTTGTGGGTTGGTGGCTGCAGGTGGTTCTACTCCAGTGGCACTTCGGTTGTTGTCAATTAAGCTGGGAATTATAGAAGGTTAATAATGGGGGTCGGAATGGGAGTAAAAGAGATATATTTATTCACAGTCTGTTAACAGACATTGTGCCATCAGAACCATGGCAGAAGAAAAAGGTGAAGAAGATGGGGACACTGATGCGATTAATAAATATGGGAAATGTATTTTTTTGGTTTTACACACGCCATTTTGTATTTTTTGTTTTGTTTTGTGAGTTTTTGTGTGTATCAAAGGGATGGCGAAATTGCGGAACAACATTGCCGCCACTGATGTCTTTTGCGGGTCATGACGTCCAATGTTTCCAACCACTGCAATTCAGCATCTCGTGGTCCCCAACCTGGAAGGCGGACTGGTCCGACTGCTGCCAAACTTGAGGTCGCCTTCTTCATACTCCTTCTCCACGTCATCGGCTGTCCACCGCGGCACTTGTTCCAATCGCTCCCTGGGAGTGCATATAGCGCTCGACGTGGAAGGCGATGGGCTGGCATGCGCGGAACATGCCCGAGCCAGCGCATGCGATGTCGGAGAATAACGTCTTGAAGACTGGCACTATTCGCCCCAAGCGCGCGGTCTCTCACCTCTGTGTTGCTTACGTGGTGTTGCCACCACACCCTAGCAATCCTCCGTAGACAGCGATTATCAAAGTCTGATAGCCGCTTCATATCTTCCGAGCGAATAAGCTAAGTCTCACAGCCGTACAAGAGTACTGCACGGACGGAAGCATTGTACACCCTCTCCTTGAGCTTGAGGCTGACATCACGGCGACGCCATAGATGTCTCAGTTGATGAATGCAAGGCGGGCCTTTGCAATACGTTGTGAGACTTCATCTCCAACACAGCAACCAGGCACGTGTATGCAACTCCCTAGGTAAGGGAAGCAAGGGACTTGCTGCAGAACATGTACTCAGAATGGTGAGACGCGGTTCAGGCACCGGCCAATCCTGCGAGATGCGTTTTACATTTTACCGAAGTGAAGCACAGGCCGTTATTAGAAGCCTCCTTCGCCAATGCGAGGCCAGTTGCGTTATGCGAAAGGATTGTGGGTAGTCCAACAGCTTAGGCGATTTAATCGGCGTAGTCCTCAGTCACGTGAGTCTGTCGCAAGGGAGTTGATCAACACCGCGTGCAGTCCTGGACACCTTCCACGTGCATCTTGTGAAAGACGCATCTTCGACATGACGACAAATTGAAGAGGAAAGGTGAAATAGGGCAACCTTGGCGAACACCGCTGGTCACAGCGAATGAAGAGGAGTGCGTGCCGTAAGCCCTAACTTTGCCCGACGTGTGACTGTAAAGTACTTTCAGGATGGTTACAAACTTGTCGGGCACACCTTTCTTCAGTAAACAGTTCCACAACGCAGATCTATCTACTGAAAAATAAAGAGGGGAGACGCCAGAAGTAGCATGTTTTCACTTATCCGCCCTGCTGTATGCAGCAGATAAGGCGACCCTTGATAATCTGTGCGACGGCCGATGCAGGATGAAGTTTGTTTGAAGAAAATGTCATGGTTGTATGTGTGCTGAGATACTGCCAGGGCGCACAGACCTAGACAGGAGGACGATTAGAGTCCTCATCCAAAGCCTTTGGCTGAAAAGCCTGTCTGCAACGCAGTGGGGTGTTGGCAATTATTTAGTTTTAAATGGACGCCATCCCATTTCAAACCCCCAACCTTGAGGACCAGGAGACTGAGTTTTTCTGACCTCTCACCATTCACCAACCTGGTAGGAGTAGATCTCAAGGTGGCCGGAGGCATCAACCAATATAGCTCAATGGGTTAATGAGGTACGCAGATCGTCGCACCACGTTAAGGTCCAGTCTCGTTGCGACTTGTTGATCTGTATGGCGCGCATTTGGTCTAGTAGTTTGGATTATACGGCACTGTAACAATGCTTGATGGTGCACCCGTGATGGATATGGTGCGATACTTACGTAGACGTTAGGCCTCGACGAAGTATATGAGTCGAAGGTAAAATACTCACCCCCCAAACATTACCCGACAGGCGTGTGCAAACATTATTAATAAGGTATGTTACTGTAAGTAGCGCAAAGGAAAAAGCGGATTAAAAGGGTGTAGCTCGATTACCAAAGAGGAAGCGCTGTCGGGCTCAAATGCAGGATGACGCAGTAGCGGACAAGCACCGCAGAATGGCCCAGCTGTTCCGCACTACTGGTCCTAGGTTATGCGTCGGTCACGCAATCAAGGATAGCACTGGTACACCAATTCGCAATGAGGATCATCCTCTGGCTCTTTGAGCGGAACACCATTCAGGTCAATTTGGTTGAACCTCAACTTCCTGGTCTCTTTCTACACAGGTTGGCCAGGCTGAATCATGGCCTGTTCGGTCTACACCGGAGACAGGTCCGAAACGCGATCACACCTCACAATCGTTTGGGAGCCGCTGGTCCGGACTCCCATGCAACTGCGCTACTTAAGGATGAAGATGAGATTCTTTGCAAAGCCCTGACCCACCTGTCCGAGGAGATCTGAAAGGAAGAGAGCATTTCAGTTAGTGGCAATATTTAAGAAGGGCAGCTGCATCGATTGTGCTAACCACAGGGCATCAGGCTGACGCAGGTAGAGACAAAGCTACTGGCTTCATTTTCACTCCATCGACTTATTGTGGAACGGAAATCCCGGATGAAGGAAGAGCAGGTAAGCTTCCGACCGGAGCGGGTCGACATCGATTATCTTTATACTCTTTTGGAGGTCAAAACAGCGTTGTATGTACTTGCTGGTCGACAATGGCTGTGTTCCTCAATTCGAAAAGTGTGTTCTACCCGTTTGATCTCTCCATCCACTTCTGGATACTTGTTTGGAAATACCGTGCCGTCAAGCGTGTGAGTATGGTTCGTGACGTGCACTCGCAGTGCCCAGATTGAGTCATAGTCAGCGCTGAGTTATCGGATGACTTTCTGATATGATGTGGCGTTCGTTCGGTTTGTCTCATATCCCAGTGGAACCCGTCATGGAACGATTCCTTCTGGATTCTCATGATTTGCCCATTGAAGTGCTACCTGTTCGAAACTTGGTTGGCCCGTGTTGTGGGGACGATATCGTCGCGCTGTTTATTTTCGGGACTCATTCATCCATGTATTGGCTTTGTCAAATAGTCCCATTATTTGTTATTAACGTCGCGCCTTCACGCTGGAAGGCGATGATCCATTTGATAGCCCTTTGTCATTTGACGGCGAGTGATTAGAAGTTTTTTATTTATTCCTCCTTTTTGGCGGCTTCTTTAGCGTCGAAAGCTTGGACCGTATTCTTTAACTCCGCGATGTATCTGTTATCTGAAGATTTTTTTTCTTCAATGCTGTTTTTATGGATCTACTGAGGGCTAACCTACTCTTTGTGATTGCATTATGCCATTTCCGTTTTGGGTACCTAAAGCGCCTTCACGTCTGACCATTGTAGCCTACATGGCATTACTAGCTTTCAATGGATCTGGTGTTTTGGCTACATCCCAATTCCGAAGCGCGGCGAACAAGTGAACTCAGGAACAAGGATATGTGTATGCAAATACTATTCGGGCAAAGAGCAGGAAATAAAGTTGAATTACTTTCTTTGACCTGAGCACCGTTTACCAAGGAGTGCACTGTTTCTTTGCTTGTGTAACATTGCGCAACACATCAGATAGTCAAAATTTGTTTTAACTGGTGAAAATGAAGTCACTGATGTCTAAACTGGATGCTGTTGAGCAGTCAGATCTGAGTCCATACGATTCTGTTTGCGGTTTACTCGGGACGTTACAGCGCGTTTTACTATCGTCTCTTAGTCAGATTGCATGTTTTTGACTGTTGTTGACACAAGATTTAAACACCCTTCCTTTGCACGTTTGCATAGGGTATTCAGCTCCTACTCCATGCCTCAATTCATCCCTAGATTAGTGTGATAGTACAGCAACTAATATCAGTTCAAGTGACTGGTGCGCAGTCACTGTTGTTGTTGATGATTACCATTAAAGCCAGGGGTCAACCTAACATAGAACCAACAGATGTTCCAAGATCACAACCCAGATAATGCAGTTGAGTCCCATCTGCTTATAGGAACGATCCCTTCCCGATCATGGTTCCAAGCTTCGACCTGAACCAACGTGCTGATGGACTGGCACGTTACAAACTCAACGGGTGATCGAACCCTCCTTACAATCCGACTATTACTACCGCTGTAACGAAACTATGCTTGTTGCGAGTTGCCAACATACGTATGCAACCATTGCTTTGTTAAAATTTTGAATTGCAATTCCGTTGTACGTTCTCATTACCTGATTCTGCGATCTAACATAGTGGGATTGTTTTCTGTCGGGTAGGAGCACTGGGTGAGGCGTGTATACAAGTGACGCATTACTTTGTTCGGCTAACTGTGCTCAACTTTTTATTAATATTTATCATGCTGCTGTAATCTTCCTTCCGTCTTTGTTGACTTGGGAGCGCTTGCTTAGGCAGTTACCTGTGCTTCAACCGAGGTCTTGCATTCCCTCGCATTTGGCGTTGTCACCATACTAATCTAATGCTCTCGCAGACGCTTTACTCATCCGACTGTAGCTTGCGATTAAGATACAAACGAGTGCTGCATCGCTTGCAGCAATTTCTTTTGGAGGCGTCTATGCCTCATTTTTCCGGACGTTTCGGCCGTACTTTTTATTTTTACTGTCGTTTATTTTGCTTTCGCGAGTAATTGTCATCGCTGTTCTAAACTGGGCAACTTTATTAGTCTCACGTCTTTCTTTTCCAGCGTTTGAAGGTAACACTCTCGAGCGAGATCTCGACTTTTTCTCCGATATCATAGCGAGCCTTTCAGATTTTCGATTCGCCCATGGTGGCCAACACCTCCTGACCCGCGATTATCTCACACTAAAAGGTTGGTCTTCAGTTTATTTCTCCGTATTTTTTTCAGTTTCCACTTTAACCTACGAGCCATTTTTAGTGTAACGCGCCGCCTTGTTCTAGGTGCTGTTGCTTCCGATCCAACTATTTGGGACTGGTCCCAAGTTACGGAAAAGTTATCGCCACTCAGCCGCCAACCTAACTACAGCTGCTTCCATCCAGTTTATGGTGAGATTGCTGATGAATTATGTAACCTAACTTCTCGTCGCGTCTTTGGTAGACATTGAGTGGTTGTATTCGATAGAAGCGTTCCCCTCATCGCTACTACGCTGGTTGACAGCTAATACGTTATCCTAGCGTTTACTCACTCGACAGGAATCAACCATGACGGGTGATCGAATCCGCGCACACAGACGGCTTCATATCACGACACGCGAAACACCATACTCTGCCATCGGTATCGTGAATGTGTCTTTACTTATCCTTTTATCAAGAGGTTCAGCTAGGCCGACGTCCACGACCCGGCCGACCTTTACTTGAATCGTCCAAACAAGGATGGAACATGTCGTGGAGTGCTTTGCTGATATTGAGCAGAATTATAAATAAAAGTGGAATTTGGTCTGCCTCAGAGAGAATTATTTATTTTTGTTGATCTTGGTATGTCTGCCGGCATCATGCTGGTTTGACCAGAGATTGAAGGTTACCGTTGTTTACCGTCCTTACCTAGTCGATTGGGGGTTGAAATTGCGGTCACATTTTCCAGAGTTTGGATCTGCTCATCACTCAGCATCCACGGACTTGCATTTAAACTGTTTTCACCAGTGTCTTCGGTGAGTATGACAATACCTTGGCCCATAGAGCACCGAACTAACTTGCTAGGTAGCCTCATATTGCATCAAACACCACATAGTGACAGGACACTTGTATCGTGACATAAGTGGAAGACATTAAGCAAGCATAACCCGCCTCACTTTTTGTCTGCGCTCGTCATCGTGGGCCTTAAATGCTTCCCAAATAAAGCTGTGGATATTAAGGGAACTCAACCGTTGGAAGGCCAAGATCCTCAGCGTATGCCAGCCGGAAGCGTCAGATAATTACGCCGTACAACGGAGTGGGATGGATTTGTTAATTTGAAGGTGATCAATTAGTCATTACTACCTAACCATGTGTTACCACTCTTTAGTAAGTTTTCGAACGAAGTGAAAATGAAAGCTGTTCTAACGTTTAATTTCGTTCTCCTCTCTGCCGCATTTTTAAGCTGAACCCAGCTGAACGAACCTAGAATTTGACTGCGAACATTGCGAAAAACAATCACGAAGTCGTTCGTGGTAGGTTGATATGGTGATGCGAAACAATGACAACAACCTTGTTCCCATGAAATGTGCAATTTCTGAGGCTCCATGATGCAGTGGTCTAAGTGTTTGGCTTGCGCTCCCTATGTCCCAGGGCGGAGTCTTCGTTTCTGCATAGCTTTGGATGAACCTGCAGCCGCCTGCGGTTGTTTGTTGGCAAGCCACTGGTGTTCTGCTGATACTTTTTAAAGTGCATCTCCTGTTGTCCGCACTAGTTTCTTGGTCTCAGACGAGTTGCTGTAATCCCTTCAGGTCACGATTAGCAAGTTTCTGTCTTGTATTCTATTCATACAAACAACGAATGATGTTTTCGATATTGATATCCGTATAAAACTGGATGTCATTTAATCCACAGTATTGAGCTCCACTGTCTGCTTCACCTCCCTCTGCCACTAGTTTACTTGGACGTTTCAGCACACCAAGTGATCCTTGGCTACCATTCCTGTCAGTATTCAACGCTACTGATAAGCGGTAGGTCATAGGTGAAACGATCCAGGACCACTTCGTTGTCTTCCACAAAAATTCTTGGAGTTTGAATTCTTGATTGAACTATCCACTAAAGGAGTTCGAATAGCCTCTTCCTTGCCTTCAGCTTCGTTTCACACATTATTGCGATCCTACGATCACTAATGCAATTCAAACAAACACGCACGGAAAAATTGAATACTCACAACGAAATCACGGTGCAGAATCACAACTGCAGCACAAATCCGGTACCAATCAATAGCCCCAACTCTGGAAAAAAAACAAGGCTTCAGGCACGAGATTTATTCACACGCCAACACGAGACAAACCAGAGAGTGATAAAAACTCATGATTGATTTAGGTCATTCAACGGCCTTGTCAAATCAGTCCATCGCAATGCTCGTTTGAAGCGGAAACAGATAGCGCGCACCGTTTGGAAATCAAATAATGGTGCCTAGCAAAATCCCATGGTTTTGACTGATTCTAATGTAGTTCTTGGGAAATACGGCCATTTCCCAACACACACTCGTATCTAAACGACATCGTCATCCTATCAGTAACTGTGGTGTGTGGATAAATCATCGTCAGAGATTTTTGGGTCCTCAAGCCGATAACGCTTCTGTTTGTTCTGTTCGAAAACTATTGATGCCATATATCCTGTAAGTTCCTCACATTTCGTTTAACGGAATGGGTGATTGTCTTGTTCCGCAAACCACCATTTTAAAGCTCTAATCTTGAGCTCATGTACAAACCCCTGACGTATTGCTCCGGTTTCAGTGATCGGATTACTCTTCCCTCGCCTTCTTTATCACATTTCCACCTTTCGAGACCTTCAAGGAGCTAATGAAGCGTACCACACTCCTTCGGTAGTTGCTTCGCGCCACGTGCGTCGTTCACCAGCAGCGGTGATCTTAGCTACACAACTTTTCCGAAGTTGCTAGCTGTGTGCTGCGTTTTATACATCATCTCTGAAAAGCACATTGAGAAGTTTATCAGGGCACTGTTTTCCGAACGAGCCTCATGGGATCTGTAAGTTTCACTTCGGGAAATCGATATTTTCTGTGAACCCATCTACGCACTTGCTCTGCTCCACAGTCGAGGCGAGCATCGATCAGTGTGGCAGGAACTGGAACAGGTGTTCCTGCGACGTTCTTGCCAAACTTATTGTGATTAACTACTATTAGCTTAGTGATGTAGCCTGGAATCGGTTCATCAAGCCAGGAATGTGCTTATGTACCCATGAAGGGTGAGTAGTCAGCCCTAAGATACACGCCGCGGACAATGATACATAATGAAAATGAATAGTACAGCAGGATAGATGTAAAACCACAATAGTTGAAAAAATCTGACAGAACAAATATCACTGGAGTAATTTACTAACCAGTTCTTGAATGGCTGAATTTTTTTCGTTCAAAAAGCGTGACTGGCCCGGATCTACTCATGTCCATAAGCCCTTGTGCGGACGTATGTAGTTCGGTAGCTCTGTCTGGTCCAGGAGCTTGATACGAATTCAGACAACACCCTTTGGAAGGGGTGGCTGAAATCAGGGGGAATTGTAGATGCAAGCTTGTTACAGGCGTTGACATGGCTAGATACAATGATTTTAACAAGTTCCGGCTTTTAAATGCCACTACACCAGGATGGATGCTTTACTGATCTTTCAATTACTTTGAGGTCCCTTACTCAGGTGACCAGGAAAGATCACGCGAGAGCAATAAGTCCATTATAGTGGAACACATGCGGTAATACAACGCTGAATGAAAAATCGGAGTAGGGAAGAAGACCTGAGACATGTAACTTTAGTAAATGTTTTGTTCATTTGAAGTGACCACATAAGCCTGCTGCTAAGTGTCACTCCCAGGTATTTTACCGCGGTTCCTCTGTGTACATTGGCGTTCAACGCGATAAGAGCTGAGTCCGTGGAGTTCCACAACTGCATGGGATCAGATCTTCAGGAGACGGTTTCATGGATGGCCGTATTACTTTACTCGAACTGCAAGCTATACCTACATTTATCCTTACTCTCAAACTATTTTTTACTACTTTTAACTTATAGAACACTTCTAGCTCTCCATTGGAACCATTGAAATACTCTAACAACTTTTCCCCACTATTTGATTAAGTTGCACAAAATGATCAAACCACGTAAAAATCAGTCTGTGTCTCGCAAGGTCGAGCAATATACTATTTATTTATTTATTGATATGATGCCATGTTGTCTGCGGCGTAATGATGCCCAAGTGCCAATATTCACGACATTCCGATATTGACACTGAGTAAAATGCTAGGCTCATATTTCCGTGATTTTCCCTCCGAATTGCAACCCGCCATCCTGCACCGTGTTTTTGTGCATTATTCCTTGGCTTTATTGATTCTTTTTATTTTGTAAAGGACAGTGAGAAGATGAAGTTTGGCAACTGCATACGTTTCTATCGTATCATCAGTGTTGATGAGATGATACGAAATGCATGCATCTGTTTATTTTATTTCGTATAGCTTGGACAGGCAAAACTGACTAATTCATATGCTTGAAAACACGCAAAGTTCAGAGTATCGCGAGTGTGAACGATCATGTCACTAGTTGTAGAACAAAATATTGAAAAGTGAAGACGAAAAGAAGTATGTTAGTGAATCCTTTGGATAGGAATTATCCAGCTCGTCAAGATTTGAAGGCAGGACGAATTGCTATAATCCTGTAATGTCGGTTCATATTGAGTCTTGCGCTGCCGATACAAGTTCATAACACATGCTGCATATTCAATACTTTGATTATTTACGGTATCTTAGGAAAGTGTAAGTCTAAGTGACGTGCAACCGATCTTCAACCTGAACTTGTTCTCTGAAGGGAAACAGGCACCAGTACCAACCATTACCGGTAGACAGAGACCCATTTGTGGCGAGTCTAGCCTTTCCATTCTACACTTTATGTAACAGCAAAGTAGTCTTCAGACTAGAAGTTGTCGATCATCATCTTCATCCTTCATAAGAGGCAAATGGTTTACGCGAACATCGGAGCGTTAGTCTTGGTACCATTTCTCCCCCAGAGTCTCTACGAGCATCATTTTGCGACGACACACTGGTCCTCATGAAAACCGAATCGGTGCTTGCCGAGCTAGCTTTTTCCCTGATCGAGGTTGCTTGGGTCACGTGTCTACTCTTCGCCGGGCGTTATAGTGGCCATGCGACCTGCCGTGGTGGATTTTATTAGGAAACTGAC